TCTCGAGTTGCTCGATGTAACCGCCAGCGCTCACCTTCAGTCCGGGGTTCACGAAGAAAATATCGGTCTTTCCATTCCAGGGTCAGGTCCATACCATCACCCGCGCCTTGGCGACTGCGGTGAAGATGATGTCCTAGACCGTAGCGACGTTGTCGGAGCTGCTCGATGATGGAGGTCTTCCAGATCGAGAGTACTGGTCTCCAGGTAGCTATCCATGGGTGACTCCATACTAGAAGTTTCGCAGCTGTTTGGTGACATGAATTCCAAAGGTCTTCTCCAGTGCGACTGGAGATGACTTCATATTTTGGTGTACATGAAGGTGATGGGCGAGAGCCAGCTCCTGCTTATCGAGGAACATCTTGGGTATCTTCCGCCCTGGTACTCGTATCCACGTCCTCTGTCTGGGCTGCGAAAACTTTGCTGATATGTGACTCGGTCGAAATGTCTTTTTTTTGCCCCCCCCCCCTGTATGCCATAGATAAACCTGGTGCTAACGTTTTGTCTTGTTCGCTGTGGATGTTGGGGCGTGTCAGAGGGCTGGGTCTGGTGCGGCACCAGTCCCTAGTTCATCTGTTGTCTGCGCTTGCCCACTTCAACAGTTGGTGGGAAACGGGCTGATGCCACGCCAGGCCCACCTCCCCCCCCCCCGACAGCCTTAGCATCCACAGGTAACAAGACTAGTTGTGCTGGTTACGGTAAAACGCCTCTGCGTCCCTCTCTCTAACCAAGGCTCAGAGGCTCAACCTAGAGCACAAACAGTCAGGGCTTCAATTGCAACAGCGCTCCAATTCTATAGACGCAAACTGATCTGACGCCATCCTGGCAGTCAATGCCGATCGATACCAGACTGCGTGGTTGGGCAACATTCACCCGTCCCCCACCAGCCCCTATACTACCCCAATACACAAACTGCGCCGAGCGATTTTCGTCTGCGGCTGCGTTCGTGTCCATAGGACTGCAAAGCTGTTGCAAGTAAGCTCGTTACCGCGCATCGCACGGCGTCGACGTGCCTCATTGTGAAGTCTGACCGCTGCTTTCCGCGGGTTTCAGGATACCTGTCAACCGCAGAGCCTTCCTCCTTCCTTTTTCTTCCTTCCTTCCCTCATCCTTCTTCCTTATTTTTCTTCCCCTAAATGCTCGATCAGAAGATGCGATGAGAAAACACTCTGGACCCTCACAGCGAGGGGGCATCCGGTTGACAAATGTCTTGTAACCCTTTCCGCGTGGCATAGCTCACCTACTTCAAAGTATAAAGTTTCTCTGATACTTCTGCGCTTTCTCCTGAACGGGAAAGTTTTACAGTGTTCGAGGACTCGTCTTCCCGGGATACATCATGTAGGGGCGTGTGGTATGTCTTCGCTAAGATAACTTAATGGCACATGTGCTTTACAGGGTAATAAACGTCGGATTGCTGCAGCATGAGATGCACTGCACTTTTGTCTCTTTTGTTGGCCAGCTTCGCTGCAGCCTTCGAGCAAGATTTCACTGTTGAGGTTCCACCAGGAAAATTTCAGTGCTTCTTCCAACCCGTTGACGTTACTAAAAATAAGTTCTTGGAAATCGACTATCAGGTTAGTAAGTTTGTTATACTATTTAACTATTTCATTTCTCTTCAGTACCGATATACATATTTCTTTTTAATGCCACTTCTTACTACTTCCCTTCAGGTGGTGGATGGCGGTGACCTTAACATTAACTTCATGATTTTACTAGGAGCTAACGTACTAATTCAAGATAACATGAAAGTTGATGGAGCTCACAGGTATATTTTGTCGTTCTTTTTCCTTTTCTTATACGAGGTCCAATGAAAGAATGAAGCCTTTGTCGTCAGTACAGTGAGTTGTAGGGCCAGTCCATGTACAAGTAGATTTTTTAATTCCTTCTGACCAATTTACCATCTCTAGAAAGTAGAACACTTGTTGTCCTGCGCGAAAGCCCATCCGGGATGTGCCCCCGAATCGCGCGCGGTAAGCACGTCACTTGCCCTTCCACCACCTCGACCTTCATAAGAGGTCTATGACTTGGAAAAAGCCACCATGTAAGCCTGCTTGTGGGAAGGGTCATGTAAGGAACTTGTGGTGTGTC